GAAGAGCTTACCAAATCAGGCCTCACAAATGCCAAAAAAGCTGACGAACCCTTGACCGAAGCAGGGGCTATCAAACTTACATCCTTGTGTGGATCACTATTCAACCACAAGGACAATAAAAAGGGTTGTCAGGATGCACACTGGAATTGGTTCCATGAGAAGCATGGGCGTGTCCGTTGCTTTGCCGATACCAGCAATACCCGATTTGCCTCACATCTATATGCAGCCATTGAGTTGCTCATTCTGCGTGACGAGTATATCGAGTTCTTGGAGAGCTGGAGAGATAGGAAACATCAGCCAGGGTTCACAAACCTAGAGGAGAACTGTTATAAAGGTCTCCAGGATGTGCCAACAGTGACCGAGCTTGCTGTCCTCGCACTTTTTGGTCTAGCAGTCTCTATCCCATATATGGAGACCATGTGATGTGATGATTATCTCTCGCAAAATATGTTAGACATGGGACCATTCCATGATCAACTTAAGATGCACCTGGAATGCTTAATTGCAAATCCGGACTTACTCCTTGACACAATGAGGCACGGAAACAAGGGGCACCTGATGACAGGAATATGGCACGAACCATTAGTGTTTGAGGCACTCAAGAAGGAGCAAAAGAGGGGATGCCTTCCACACCTTCATAAAATGCTGATCGAGTTCTGTTGTGGAGCCTTAAACAAGTGGGCAAACTTCACCTCCGAGTTCGCAAGTGATGGAACCATTGCATCCCTCACTCCAGCAGAGAGGGAAGACGCTTTCATGCCAACAACCAATGATGCTAATGAAGGCATGTTGGGCACTTGGCGGGTTCGGGCACGACGGTTTCCATCCCTCAGCAAGCACCGCTTCAATGCAATAATGATGTACAGTCAAAATAACACTGAAGCCTTCATCAAGGCACACTTCACTGAGGCTCACCATGCATATGTCAGGGTGGAAGCTCGAAGGCGCGACAAACTCAAGCTAGAATCAAACCAACAGGTACAACTGATTAAAGCAGAGGAGGCAAGGATTGCAAAGGCTCGTCAAGCTCAAATAGATCGCGCAAGCAAGAAAGATGCAGAGAACAGGAAGATGGAAGGGACTCAACTTCAACTGGATATCATGGAGGTCGCAAAGATGACAGGTGAAGCTATGATTGAGCAGATCAATAAACACCAGTGGCTCGCACCAGATGATGCATCAATTCCGAATCGAACAACTGTCAAGAAGATGCGTGTCAGTGATAGGAGGACACTGCTTCAACATATAATAGAGCGCTATAATACACAGTAGACAGAATCACAGGAATACACTCACTGGAGGTATCATAATCCGATCCCTTACTTTCACATCTTATTTACCACTGATCTTTCCGATCAAGTCTCAAAACTATAGTACACGATGTATACTTTGCTTAAATAATCTCATATGAGGTTTGGGAGAGTGAGGATGTGAGTTATGAGGAAGTTGTTTCGGGGCTCATGTTTGAGACGATTCTGATTACATAATCAGGACACGGAACTAACCTGGGTTGCCCACCCCCAGTAGGAGTGGATTAAAGATGATAGAAGATCACACGGCATCATAACCGATACCATGTGACCAGATCAAATAGAAGATTAGAAGCGGAAAAGAAGAAGAACCTGATGGGGATATGGGCCATGTGGCACTGCACTACTTACGCTAGCGACCTGAAGACATGCCCTGACATTAACCGGTTCCTCTTATTCTGCAAGGTTATAGGTGGTCTATGTGGCCACATCTTTACCAAGTTGATACTGGTATTATGGCTCAGCTTTCCATGGTATCGTTTCAGTTTGATCAGTACCATCATATCTGAAGGCTGCCATGTATGGCCTTCACTCATTGCCATGGCATCCCTTATTTTCTTGAATATCTTTCCCTGTATCGTGTTGTTGCGAGAAAGATGATCGAAATTCCATTGACACATGCAATATAACAACACAGTTATTTGATGAGAATGGAATAAGTGGGAAAGTGCAGAGTCCTGCAAAGCACGAAGTGCAAGCACTCTAGTCAACAGATACAATCTGTCATATCCATCTACAGCCATTGTCCTCCACTACCTCCGATCCCTCCAGACTACCTCTGCTCCTTCATCACTGACCTTGGAGCCCCCATATTCCTGTCAGGGCTCGGTCCTCGATCAGGGACAGCCCGACCTCAGGCCTGGGTGTGTGCGGTGTTCTGGGTGGTTGGGCGCTAGACCCTGTCCTCAGCTCCTCAAACTCACTGAAGGGACTAAGTGGGGATTGAGTTGAGAAGAAGGGTAAGTTTCCCTTGGCTACTATAAAAGGGAAGTGTACTGTACAGTTCATAATGTGACTCCGGGTAGAAGCCGAGCATGTTCCTGTGACTCGGAAAAGGTGTCACATGGGTTAAGGCGAGTTGCTCACCTTGACCCACGTGATTTTTCCCGCAGGCTCACATGCGGGCTGAAGTTGTGAGAGATATGTAGGGATGGGGAGGTCAGGGAAGTGGGGGAAGTCTGGGAAGGTGGTTCTGGGGTGTAGTTGGGTGCCCCTGACAGCGGGGTCAGGGGCCGATCCCTGACAATTCTGCAATCACCTCCGACTCCCTTGATGGTCACCACCCCCTCAAATCAATATATTACCTACACCTCCCTAAGTACGGAACCCTGAAGACCTCCAGACAGCTCTGATGTCCGCTAACACACTCCCGCCCCTGCTGGGCAATTCACTTGCTTGCCCTGCAAGTCTACCTTCAGGCCTATCCTTCCTTTCCGTTTCTGGGTTACAGCCCACCATCCCGCTAACCCCATAACCTGACTTGTCAGTGATATTCAGTCAGCTAATGTTTAACCCTGTTAGCTCTGCTCTGCTCAGTCCCATCATTCATGGGCCCGCCCTTGCTGTAACTATATATACATAACTTGTAGATAGGTTACACCCTAGTGATAAAATCGACTAGAGTTAATCCCCCTTTGTAGTTCTTGCTGCCAGTAAGTTAATTAGGGCACAGACATGTAACTAGGCACAGTGCTCCTGGTCTGAGTCACTGAGGCCAAAGCCCTCTGCCACAGAGACATCTCCTTCATCTCGCTTCTGGTCTCTAACACAATCCATCGTATTAAGCGAGCCTGGTTAAGGGGTCTTTCCTTATCAGCAGTTAAAGTTGAATTGCAATGAGCATGGAACTGCAAGTGGTTGGGATTTGGGTCACCAAAGGTACAGGATTCATTGGACAGAGGTTTGGAGTTGTTCACAAGACAACAGAACATGATTAGAGTGGCATGGGACACAATGGAACCGATTAATTGCCAACAAATCCAAATGGCATAGATGCTCAAAGGGATGGAGGATACTCAAACGATCTGGAAATTTAGAACTAATATTCCAGAAATACTGTAGAATTGTAACTGTTCTTCTCGAGTCCGAAAGCTTGAATTATGATCATTTGCACCCAAAGCTGTACAAACAAGAATTTGTGTATTGACAGAGGTAGAAGGGGAAATAAGGAAAGTATAAAGGAATTGGAGGTAATCATCGATATGAGCGAACTCCAACCTTGTTTGAGCACAAGTGGAACCAGCACAAAAATAGCGATTGCCATTTACAATGTGGCATGCAACCATTAATTGTGAATCATTGATCATTAGATGAGGCTCAATGAGGCCATGGGTGATGGCATTGTTGGTGACCAAGGTTAGGGCATTGTCGGATAAGAGCGTCAAAGAGAGAATGGGTGAGGAGGAATGCAGCATGGTATGGAGGGGAAAGGAATTTATTAGGGAAGGGCAGAAGGGCAATGCTTTTAAAGCCAGAGACAACAGAGAAGTTGCACAGAGTTTTCTAGAGCAAGAATTTGTAATAAGGGAAGAAGGACCCACTGGTTAGGCAGGAAATTGGCAATAATAGAGGACCTCTTGCACAGGCATTCAGTTCATGCTTTCAAGTACAGAGTAGCGGGAATTCGTCAAACACGTGATTTTTTGCAGGATGTACTGGGGGAATGTTTTAGGTTTACTTTCAGCAACCGTCAAAAAAATCTGCATGCTGGATTTGGATGCATGACCCAGCTGGATCTCGTGCTTGTCCAAAAATGGTCACAAATCAGGGTCAACTTCAATGTCAATACATTCGGCATTTTGCACTCATAGCAACCTGACCTGGCACTTTGTGAGCTGGGGTCTTCAGGTCCCCAGGTGTTACAGGAGCCTCTACCCTATTTCACATGTACCATTCAACAGCATGGAAATCACTCATGTGAGGCATGAAGGTACATGCTCCCATGATCCATGTCATATCCATCCATGGCCACCGACTTCCACTACCTCCGATCCCTCCAGACTACCTCCGCTCCTTCTTCACTAACCTTGGAGCCCCCATATTCTGCAATCACCTCCGCTTCCCTCGATGGTCACCACCCCCTCTTTTTAATATATTACCTATGCCTCCCTAGGTACAGAGCCCTGAAGGCTTCTGGACAGCTCCAACATCCGCTAGCACACTCCCACCTCTGCTGGGAAATTCACTCGCTTGCACTGCAAGCCCACCTTTGGGCCTGTCCCTCCTTTCTGTTTCTGGGTTATTGCCTACCATTCCGCTAACCCCATAACCCAACTTGTCAGTAATATTCAATCAGCTAATGTTTAACTCCGTTAGCTCCACTCTGCTTGGCCCTGCCATTTACAGGCCTGCCCTCGCTGTAACTATATATACTCAACTTGTACATAGGTTACACCTCAGTAATAAAATCAACTAGAGTTGACCCCCTTTAGTTCTCATTGCCAGTAAATAAATTAGGGCACGGACATGTAACTTGGCACAGTGCTCCTGGCATAAGTCGCTGAGGCCAAAGCCCTCTGCCATGGAGACATTCCTTCGTCTCAATCTGGTCTCTGACAATCCATCACACATCAGCCAACTCATCAGTCATGACTGCCACAGTGGCCCCAGGTATAAAATGCCACATTTTCGTGGCACTCCTGTTCTCTGCTGAGTAGTGAAGCCCTATCTTGTGTCTAACATCTTACTATTATGACCATGCAGAAATTTGATCCCAAGTCCTGGCAGGAGAACCCCAACAAACGCTCTCTCTGGTCCACTGCCTACCTCTTTGGTATGACAGATATTGTGCTGCTGCCTCAGATGCATGAGGATGCACTCCTCAAGTCTCTCATTAATGGACATGCCCAGTATTTACTCAATAATTCTACCTCCCTGCTCAACGCTTTCATCGACAGCAACCTCCAAGATGATGTTTTTTTGTTGCACCACATTCCTCATGACTGTAAGTGCCTTCTGAACTGTTCCAACACTCTCACTTCTTCTCAATTTTACAGGGAACCATACACCATCTGATGACTGCCTCCATAAGCGCATCAAGAATTACCTTAGTCATACATTGGCCTTGACCTTGACCTCTGATGCACCCATTGCCATCAACAATGCAATTACTCTGCTCCAAAGCACCCTACCCCAACTGACTGGGTCTCCCCCTCAGTGCCCTGGCCCATTGTCAGCCAACCACACCAAGGAGAAGATAGCTAGTAAGGCCGCTTCTGGCAAGAAGCCACGTTTTGGTGAGTTAACATCAAACTTACATCTCAGCTGTGACTCCCCAGTAATCAGCCATGATGTCAGGTCTGCAAGTGGAGTTCCCACTTCACTTGATGGATGCATCCAAACCCACCATGTCCCACATTCTTGATATCCAAGACTCCTGGACCACCGAACATGCACTATGCACTATCACATCTGACATGGGTGTGGACTTCAACATCCATAAGATTGCATATAAGACTTTGGCAATGAAGGTAAGGGAAGATCCTATTCTAATTGACAGTCTAGATACCTTTGTGGTCAGCCTTGAAGCCCAGTGCGATATCCAATTGCGTGCTCAAGGGCAAAAACACCTCAAAATTTTCAATCTGGTATGTCTAATTTTTTATCCTCTTACATACTTAGTGAACAAGTTTTTCAGTTGGCAGTCACCAAAACCAAATCTAACAGCAAATCTAAGGGCAAAAAACCTGATCTCAACCCCTATGCGAGTCTGGCTGCTGCACTGCATGCAGAGACATACCGAAAAATATTGGATAACACTTGGTGTGTGTCAGGGGATGTGCATGCTCGCACAGGATGCTCCGATAACCTAGTTGTGATCAAAGCTGGGGGAAAGGGATGTCCCCATCTTAGGGTCAGCTATATACATGTAGAGTCCGGCAATAAGGAAACCAAATGGATTGCCGATAGAATCACGTGATTATAGAATGTTCCAGAACAATGCCGGAGATGATCCGGGTCACCGGGGCTTAGGTAAGTGGAGTAGACAGGAATTACCGGCATACTTCCCACGCACATATGCACAGCCAGCATAGGGCCAGGGTTGTTGCTGATCCCTGACAGTGTGGCAAGCACACCAGTCATTGCTATGCCCATCCCAAGGCAGACTGGAGCCACTTGAGCTTATCAAATGAGGCCCTCAATTTATGGACAAATCATATTGTAAGTTTCCTTTTGTCAGGGCACACCCGCCTGACCCGGTTCCACCCGGGCCCACCTGGGCCCACCTCACCCGCTCACCCGCTCACCCGCTCCCCGCTACCCATCCTTCCTCCCTCTTCCCCTTTCCTCCCTCTTCCCTCTTTTCTCTTCCTCTTTTATTTCACTCTCCCTTTCTGTTTATTCTTTCTATTTACACGGACCACCTTCCCTTGTATCATTGTACTGTTGACCCGTCCGGCTCGGACACCCCGGGCGACCTCCCGCTACGCCCAGCATGCGCGGACGCCCTCGGGATCCCCCGCAGGGATACCCGGATGGCTGCGGCCCTCTCCGCAGATGACGTGGCACCTGTCACGTGACCCAAGCCGCATGTACATAAATGTACCTGAAGTGGGAACTGAAGAAGTAACCTTCTTCTCACATTTTCCACTTCAGGTAAGTAGTGTAGTTCTTCCTTTTAATAACAATTCACGTTTTCCACTTCAGTCTAAGTGGCCAGGGACTATAGTCCCAGATCGGGCCCGTCAGTACGCGCGCCCGCTTCGTCCCCCGAGAGGGTTCCTCTGCTGGGCGCTACAGCCGGGCCCCCTCCACCCCGGACGCGTCCCTGACAGCAGAAGAAGGTTTCAACCTCGTCTCCCCCGCCTCCCCTATCTCCCCTGCCTCCCCAGCCATGGTGTCAGAAGAGCAGTATGAGGAGCTGCTAGCTCGCTTCCAAGAGCTCCAAGCCATTGTGGAGAACCAGGCCCGCAACCATCCCCCACCCCCACCTGCTCCAGCACCCGCTCCCGCGCCAGCCCCTGCACCCGCTCCCGCGCCCAGACCCAAACCACCCAAGGTCGCCCCCCCCACTCCCTTCTCAGGAGCCAGCGAGGACCTGGACCGCTTCAAGGCCGAGTGCGGGATTTACTTCCACGTTCGCGCGGCTGAATTCCCCACCGCCCTCTCCCAAATTCTTTTCGTGCTGTCCTACATGAAAGGAGGACCTGCAGGGGCATGGGCAACGCAACGCACAATCACGTTGCTGACGGCCGGATCCCCCTCCCTCACCATGGACGAGTTCAACACTGAACTCGATGCCATGTTCCAGGACCCGAACCGGGAGGCCACGGCCAGACAGAAGCTGGCAGCCATCCGACAGGGGAGCGACTCTGTGGACAAGGTCATCCAAGAGTTCGAGATACTGGGGCCCGCCTCGAGGCTGGGCGATGTGGGACTGGTTGACCGTTTCGAGCAGGCCATTAACTCCCGCCTCCAGGAGAGCATATACCGGCTCCGCCCCATGCCCACTACTTGGGCAGAGTGGAAACGCGAGGCCACCCTCCTAGACAACCAGTGGCGACGCTTCCAAGCCACCCAACCGCGTGCGTTTCCACCTAAACCCCCGCTCCCGTTAACCCGACCCCTGCCGACCGTGACCCCACCTCACGCACGACCCACACCCACGCCCCCTCGACTCGCACCCGCTCCTCCACCTCCTACCCCAGCAGCCCGCCCCACAACGGGAGCGGGCCCACAGCCAATGGATCTCGACCGCTCGAGAACTGACCAGAGGCGGTGCTACAACTGTAACACCCCGGGGCACATCCAGCGAGACTGCCCACACCCCAAGGTCCGCCGGGCACGACGCCTCCACCCTGAAGACCTTTGGGTGCTGATGGAAGGGCTGAAAAGGCAGTTGACTGAAGGACCAGAGGCAGAGGAAGCAGAGCCGGAAACAGAGACTCAGGGGGATTTTCAGGAAGGCGACCGGTGAGGGATGCGTCCCGGCCGCCCGTAGAGGATAGCTCGTGTAAATACCGCAGTGTGCGTAAGGCAGCGCCAATGCCAAAACTTCACCGAGTTATCGCAAAGAAAAAGAGGAAAACCGCATCCTCAACCCGTGAGAGTAGAAGGACCACAGAGGGAATGCCCGAAGTGGCAGTATCCCCGCCCGCTATCTACGTTCTTTCCAAGCAATCCCCCCGGTCCCTTAACCTCACGGTCAAACCGACCACCCTAACCTCACTCGCATCAGTGTCTGTATCGGCCCTCCTGGACTCAGGAGCCACCGGGAACTTCGTGAGCCCCGAGTTCGTCCGGAAGCACAAGCTTGAGACAACCCCACTCCCGCAACCTATCCCCGTCCGTAACGTCGACGGGACCCCGAACGAGAATGGAGCCATAACTGAGGAGCTGGAAGCCCTCCTGACGTTCGGGCGGCACACAGAGCGAGCCCGCTTCGCGGTCGCAAACCTCGGGCGGCAATCCCTCATCATTGGTCACTCGTGGCTGCTACACCACAACCCAGAGGTGGACTGGGCACGGCAGAAGGTCGTCATGTCTCGCTGCCCGTCCTCCTGCAGACAGCCACAAGCACGAGAGGACCAAGACCCTGCCCTAGAGCCGGGGGATGGGATCTACGCTGCAATCATCCCCCCAGGCTGGGGACACGACCTAAGAGCCACCACGACCCCCTCTCAGCGGATGGCCCAGGAGGCCCGCGACCTGGGCGCAGAACCCGCGTCGTTTGAGACGCTAGTGCCAGAGCACTACCAAGACTTCCGGGACGTGTTCTCGAAGGAAGCTTTCGACCAGCTTCCCCCCCGGAAGCCCTGGGACCACGCCATAGACCTGGCACCAGATGCCAAGCTGCCCAGGGGAAAGACCTTCCCCCTCTCGCGGCCGGAACAGAAAGAGCTGGACAAGTTCCTGCGCGAGAACTTGCAGAACGGGCGCATACGACCATCCAAGTCCCCAATGGGGGCACCAGTCTTCTTTGTCAAAAAGAAAGACGGGTCACTACGCCTAGTACAGGACTACCGGAAGCTGAATGAGATTACCATAAAGAACTCGTACCCACTCCCGCTGATCTCAGACGTCCTCGCCTGCCTCCGGAGCGCTAAGTACTTCTCCGCCCTGGACCTACGCTGGGGGTTCAACAACGTCCAGATCAAGGATGGAGATGAGTGGAAGGCAGCGTTCGCAACCAACCGAGGGTTGTTCGAGCCCATGGTAATGTTCTTCGGGCTGTGTAACTCCCCCGCGACCTTCCAAACGATGATGAACGATATCCTCAGGGACTTCATCGACCAGGAGGTCGTCATTTGCTACATGGACGATATCCTCATCTTCACGGCTACCCTAGAGGAGCACCAGAAGGTCGTCTGGGAGGTCCTGGAAACGCTACGGAAGAGGAGGCTATTCCTGAAGCCGGAGAAGTGCAAATTCGAGCGGACCCGGACCGAGTACCTCGGCCTCGTCATCTCGGAGGGTAGCGTTGCGATGGACCCCGTAAAGGTCCGTGGAGTCCTTGACTGGCCCACCCCAACCAAGGTGAAGGAGGTGCAGTCCTTCCTGGGGTTCGTAAATTTCTACCGCCGGTTCATCAAGGACTTCTCTGAAAAGGCACGCCCGCTCCACAAGCTGACCCGGAAGACCCAGGCTTGGAACTGGGGCACGGACGAAGACAATGCCTTCCACGCCCTTAAGGAAGCTGTCACCACTGCCCCAGTCCTCTCCTTCCCCACTGACTCGGGCCGTTTCAGGCTCGAGTGTGACGCCTCCAACTTCGCAACCGGTGCAGTCCTCTCCCAGCTCCAACCCGATGGGGAGTTCCACCCGGTGGCGTTCATGTCCAAGAGCTTCACGGATGTGGAGCGTAACTACGAGGTGTACGACAAGGAGATGCTCGCGATCGTCCGGGCTCTCGAAGAGTGGCGACACTTCCTAGAAGGTGCAGAGGAGAAAGTCGAGGTCTATACCGACCACCGTAACCTAGGGTACTTCCGGATGGCCCAGAGGCTGAATCGACGCCAGGCTAGGTGGTCCCTCTTCCTCTCTCGCTTCCACTTTACCCTTGTCCACCGTCCCGGGAAGCTCATGGGAAAACCGGACGCACTCTCCCGTCGTGCTGACCACCCGAAAGGGAAGGACGACAACGAAGGGCTAACCCTCCTCCAACCAGCCTGGTTTGAGGCTCGTGCAACAGAGGGAATCTCGGTAGAAGGAGAGGAGGTAGGAATTCTAGAGCGGATACGCAAAGCAAAGGACCACGACGAGAAGGTGGTAAAGGCAATGCGAGAGCTGGGAGAAGGGACGCTAAGGTCGGACGAATGGGAGAGGCAGGGTGAACTAGTTCTGTACTGGGGGAGGGTGTACGTCCCTAAAGACCCCCAACTCCGCCATGATCTTGTGCGGCTACACCATGACGCGTGGGCGACGGGACACCCAGGGCGATGGAAAACCCTGGAACTTGTCTCCCGCGACTACTGGTGGCCCCAGATGGCAGAGTATGTCGGGCGGTACGTACGCGGGTGCGACACCTGCAACCGCGTCAAATCTTTCCCCTCACGAAAAGTTGGGAAGCTCACCCCAAACAAGGTCCCCACCCGCCGCTGGCAAGTGATCTCAGTAGATATGGTGGGAGAGCTCCCAGAGTCCAAAGGCTATAATGCCATCTTGGTGGTAGTAGACCACCTATCCAAGCGTATCCACGCGGTCCCCACCGTGACGACCGTAGACTCGGAGGGTATCGCACGGCTCTTTCTAGAGCACGTCTGGAGGCACCACGGGCTCCCAGAGGAGATCCTCAGCGACAGAGGGAGCGCCTTCGTCTCCCGCTTCTCGAAAGAGCTCGCGGACCTTCTAGGCGTCAAACTGACCCCTTCGACGCCCTACCACCCCCAGACGTATGGACAGACTGAGCGGGTCAACCAAAAGATCGAAGCTTATCTCCGGGTGTTCGTCAACCACCGACAAGACGACTGGGCCAATTGGCTCCCGCTGGCGGAATTCTCCTACAACAACCACATCCACTCATCCACCCACCGAACCCCTTTCGAACTTGACACCGGCCAACACCCCAGGATGGGGACAGAGCCCACACGCACGTCCGAGGTGGAAGCTGCTGACGCGTTCTCATCGAGAATGATGAAAATGCAAGAGGAGGCGAAGGCCGCACTGGAACACGCAGCGGACGAGATGGCCCGTTACTACGACCGAGACCGCGAAACAGCCCCAAAGTACCAAGAAGGCGACCGAGTCTGGCTCAGCGTGCAAAACTACACGACTGACCGCCCAACCAAAAAGTTGGACCACAAATGGCTCGGCCCCTTCAAAATCGTCAAAGTCGTCTCCCCTGCTGCCGTCAGACTCCAACTTACCGCACGCCAGAAAGGAATCCACCCGGTTGTATCCGTAACGAACGTCAGACCACACCGCCCGGACGATATCCCAGAACGACCCACTGACCCCCGCCCAGGTCCGGAACTTGTAGACGGAGAAGAAGAGTACGAGGTGGAGAAGGTATTGGACTCTAAGTGGCTACGCCGGAAACTCTGGTATCTGGTAAAGTTCGTTGGTTGGCCAAGCTCAGAGAACCAATGGCTCCAACGGGACCACTTAGCCCATGCCCCCGACCGGATCGAGGAATTCCACAGGACGCACCCCCAAGCCCCAGGGAGAGAAAGAGAGAACCATCTGGCCGCTTCGAGGCGAAGCAGCTTAAGGAGGGGGTGATGTCAGGGCACACCCGCCTGACCCGGTTCCACCCGGGCCCACCTGGGCCCACCTCACCCGCTCACCTGCTCACCCGCTCCCCGCTACCCATCCTTCCTCCCTCTTCCCCTTTCCTCCCTCTTCCCTCTTTTCTCTTCCTCTTTTATTTCACTCTCCCTTTCTGTTTATTCTTTCTATTTACACGGACCACCTTCCCTTGTATCATTGTACTGTTGACCCGTCCGGCTCGGACACCCTGGGCGACCTCCCGCTACGCCCAGCATGTGCGGACGCCCTCGGGATCCCCCGCGGGGATACCCGGATGGCTGCAGCCCTCTCCGCAGATGACGTGGCACCCGTCACGTGACCCAAGCCGCATGTACATAAATGTACCTGAAGTGGGAACTGAAGAAGTAACCTTCTTCTCACGTTTTCCACTTCAGGTAAGTAGTGTAGTTCTTCCTTTTAATAACAATTCACGTTTTCCACTTCAGTCTAAGTGGCCAGGGACTATAGTCCCAGATCGGGCCCATCAGTACACGCGCCCGCTTCGTCCCCCGAGAGGGTTCCTCTGCCGGGCGCTACAGCCGGGCCCCCTCCACCCCGGATGCGTCCCTGACACCTTTTCATCAAGATCGTGTTTGACTGACATTTTATATTGCAGTGTTAGAATGCGGGGATTCGGACGACTCCGGAATGGAATCGGAGACTTATCATGGAAGGACCTTGGCCTCAGCGACTCATGCGGAGCGCTGTGCCATTGCTGGTTGTCCTAGGGGTCCCTAATTTCGGATCTAGCAGAGGGGAAGTCTCTTGGGGGGAATTCAAGTTGATTTCGGACTGAGGTTACAAGTTACTATGTACATTGTATATAAGGAGGGGTCCGGAATCAAAAGGAACAAGGGTAGGACAAAAGGAGACAAAGGGAGATGGAAAGAGGAATAACACCGAGGGTCAAGTGTTTGACTCAATGGTGTTTCCCAAAGGAGGAATGAAGGGCCAAAGCCCAAGAAGGAAGGAAGGAGGATGGGAGTCGGGAATGGCTAGCTGACTGAATGGAAAGGAAGCAGCAGCCCAAATAGGAATGAGGGAGAATAGCGGAATTGAAATGGACAATGCAATAGTTGCAAGGTCCGGAGTAAGTCCGGAAAGTCCGAACTCGGAGGTTAAACTCCGGAATATTGGCAAAGGTAATTAAATGGAATGGGCTAACCAATACAATGGGTATAAGCGGAGGTGGGGTCAAAGTCCGAGGTCGGAGCTAAGACCGGAGGTTCCGGAGACGAGAGGTGAACGGGATACCGGAGCGGAGGTCCGGAGTCGGGAGCATAGGTTTTGCGTACTCGTCTGGAAGGTGTCGAGGTTGGGGTCGGACCCGGAATGTTCCGGAGTCGGACCGAAGGTGGTGATGGAGCCGGAGGTGGGATAACCTCTTGGGAGTCGGCAAGGAGAAGGTGATGGAAGGGAAGTAGGGCTCTGGAAGTCGGAGTTCGGAGTTCCGGGAGCCCGGAGCGGAGGTCGGGATTGTATGGATATGACATGCAGTGTGAAGGCAGGCCAGGTGTTACACTGAAACAACCACCCCACCACAAACTGTTTGAGGTGGGAGGCATCAAATGCAACTCCAACTGGAAGTGTGTGTTCATCCGGCTTCCCCACTTCATGTTGCCGGACACATAATGGTCAAGTCTCCAACTGTCAGACCAAGCACACCAACCCATGCCAAAACCCATGCCAAGTGTGTTCCATCAGCTTCTCCCCCTCATGTTGCCAAATGTGTAAGTACAGCTGGACCCTCAACTGCTGCTGAACCAAGCACATCAACACGTTCCCCCCTCATTGATCTCAACATGACTGTCATCGACTTGATGTCATCATCGCCCATGAGAGCCTCAACATCAACCACTTGTGTCCAGCACCAATGCCCTATCAAACAACAATCAGCTGCTATTATTGATATTCCTTCATCACCAAGTGAACACCTCTCATGCAAACATCACAAGTCACCACCCATCATTTGTCTCAACTTCGACTCCGACTCTGACTCCGATGCAAAAAATGAACCTGATGCTGATGGCAATATTGGGGGTCAGGTTAAAGTTGATCCCATGGAGCTCAGTGATGATGAGCTTGATGATACTGTCCCAGACATATTATCCTGAGCTAGGTGAGGATGATATGGTCTCAGATGTATTTCTCTGAGCTGGGTGTTGATCAGCCACCTGTTTTTTTTTTTTTTTTTTACTTTGTTCTTGAAAACATGTTTTCTTTTTTTTTTCGTCCTGTCATTCCATCTCAGTAGTCATACTCAGAGTCCATCAATCAGTACAATACATGGCTCAACTGTGATTGGTCTCGATGATACCATGGACTCGGTCTATTATGCAATTTTGGCATTGAAAATATGTACATGAGTTCAGGTACTGAGGTAACCTGTGTGCTGAAACCAATGGCAAGCTTTTACTGGTGTCACAGTGTACACTGCACTTGTGAGTAAGTCTGTTGCACAATGAAGTGATTCTGCTGCCAACTCATCGTTAACATAGGCGTGATTGCGCTGTAGCCAGAGTTTGATGGATCATCAGCAAACTTGGTAGGGAGCTCTGTGAGCTCTGTGAGCAAATTGAGTCTTTTTGCTGTGCACCCTCTACACATTGGGTGGAGAAAATTAAATGTTTGAATGATTTTGTTCTCCTAAGGATGCAGAAGTGCAAAGATAATATGTATATACATTTTTGGAAATGCATATTAAATGGCCAGCATCATTACTTGAAAAGCTCTATGAGCTCTATGAGCTCACTGAGCTCATAGAGCTCATAGAGCTTTTTGTTTTTAAATAATGGATGGTCTTCATATCTCCATGAAATCTGCTTAGTTATTTTGGCACCAGTAGTGCAAAGATAATATGGATATATGTGTGTGTAAAATGGCCATTGTCATTGCTCTGAAAGCTCATATACCTTTTATGTTTACTAAAATCAGCACCTTATTTGTTTATTGCTATTTACAAAATATGAGGAAAACTCTGAAATTCAAAAATTTGCACTTTATCTTTCATCTCATTTCTTGCTCAAAACTCAACCAATTTTGATGATTCTATGTGAATTGGAAAGCACCAAAGTGTGGCAATGTAACCATGCATGTTATGTAGGGTATAAATCAGTTTTAAAAAAGTGTTCCAAATGAAGTAAATTAAAAATACCACCCAATAAAGCAAACAAAAAGCTGATGTATTCTTCAGATATCATCCAAGCCTTTGACACCAAATTTCCCATGGTCAAAAAGCCATGGTTATTTGGCTCACCAAAACATGGTGGGAGACTTTTCTAACACTGAAACATACATTGCTACATTGCCCCACTTTGGCACTTTCCAATACACATTGAATTATCAAAAAAGTGATTTAATTTCTTTTCCAATTATTCCTAATTTCCTGAAATATCTCTCCCTAACTTATCCCAAATTTTCTGATTTTTTGGACATTCTCCATTTTTAGAAAGTCCCCCATTTTCTGAATTTTCCTTAATTTTCCCTGACTTTTTAGAAACCCCCCAGTTCCCCCTCATTTTCCTCCCATTTTCCCCTTCCCCCCCATCCCCCCTTCGATTTTCCCCTCATTCCCCCCCCCATTCCCCCCTCCCGATTTCCCCCTTCAAATTTCCCCTCATCCCCCCCCCCCATTTCCCCCCTCATTTTTTCCCTCATTCCCCACCTCATTCCCCCCCCCAATTCCCACCTCAATTTCCCTCCCATTTCTCCCCCATTCCCCCCTCCAAATTTCCCCTCATTCCCCCCATTCCTTCCCAATTTCCCCCTCATTTCCCCCCCCCCCCATTCTCCCCTCCAAATTTCCCCCTTCAATTTTCCCCTCATTCCCCCCCCCCATTTCCCCCCTTCAATTTTCCCCTCATTTCCCCCCCATTCCCCCTCCAAATTTCCCCCCATTCCCCCCTTCAAATTTCCCTTCATTCCCCCCCTCATTCCCCTCCTCATTCCCCCCTCATTCCCCCCTCATTCCCCCCCCCCAATTCCCTCCTCAATTTCCCCCCATTCCCCCCTCAAATTTCCCCTCATTTTCCCCCCCATTTCTCCACTCATTTTCCCGCATTTTCCTTAAGTAATTTCAGATTAACTGTATATGTATATCCCTAAATTTGGTCTATATATTAATTTGGCTATATACCCTTGGTGTGTAGTGCTGCATTGGGAACTAAAGTTAAGCTCAGTTTGTTCAGTTTCCTGCATGGTAGGGACTTGGCTGTGACTCATCACATGATGCCAGAGTCAATGCTCTTAAATTTTAATTTTGATATTGGATAAATTAAACACTCAGGGAGCTCATATAGATAATAGTCCCCTGTGTGCAAATATGGCTCTATGAGCTTTGACTACTTTGGGGAGCTCTGAAGGGGACCTGCAATTTCAAAGTACTGAAGCTCTGAGAGCTCTGAGAGCTCTGAGAGCTCTGAGAGCTGTATGAGCTCTCAGGCCTCTGCATCCAGGTTTGCTGATGATGAGAAGGCTTCTTCAATGGGGTTGAAGTCTGGGGAGTAGGGGGGGGGGCAGAAATTCTAGATGGACACCACTATGGATCAAGGATTAGAATAGTGATACCAAACATTAGGATACTTGCCATTCATGGCACATTTGTGCAAGCTGATTTGATTTGTGAATGGGCGCATTGTCCATCACAAGGACCGAGTTTGCTTGAGGAAATGGATTCATTCTTGTGAGAATTGTTTCTATAAATTCATTGAATGCTTCAGCTGTGTATGCTCCAGGCCGGATGTCACAGAACAGAATACCTGTGTTTCAATTGTTAGCTTATGCCGCATCACCCAAATAATAAATCACATACTTTATACCACGAATAAAGAAGTCCTGGTGTCATGCATGCTCTCCACAAGGTGACCAGCCATATTTCCAGGCTCCTGTCTGATGACTGACTCCTGTTTCATCAACAAACACTAGTTGGTTTGCCTGATAGTTTTCTCCCATATGCCATTTGAAGTCAGCATGCATTTGTTCATCCCACTCCACTGCAATTGTATTTGGAATTTTGGTGATATATACCTTTTTGCAGGTCAGACCATGGCACCTCATTTCATGGAGAATTGTGCTTTCACTGACTTGAACATGAAACTCTTCATTGATAGCATCCTGCAGCTCAGAGACTAGAATGTTGGGTCTGTTGGTTGAGCAAGACATGACAACATGCCGGTATGCATATCATGCCCATATTGGCTAGCTGATATGATACCCCTTCACCATGTGCTGCATGTCTCACTGCTGACTGTGTTCCACATGCAGTTCTTGTGCATATCTCATCCTCTTATTATTCTTGTCTGATATCTGTGTAATTACCTTAACTACTTATACTGCTGAGCAGTTACAATATCAAGTTGGTTGTTCCCCATTATCCAAGTGTCCCCACTGAGAGCTACATAACAACAGGTTATGAGCCCAGCCTAGGGCTTAACCACCATAACTTGATCACTGCTTACATCTAAACCTCGCACTCAACTTCTAGTCGACCTAACCCATGGCTGAAGACTTGGTATCCCTTGGCAAACGTTTCCCTATCTTGTCCAGGAAGGAAAACTACACTCCATGGAAAACCAGCATGGAGGATATACTGAATTACTTGGATCTATGGGCTTATGTTCAAACCGGCTACATGTTGCCCACTGACATGACTCAGAAGGCCACAGCTGAGAAGGCACAGTGCAAGGCACTTACATTGATCTGTCTGCAAGTATCACCATTCGTCCACACATTTGTCATCAATTCTCAGACCCCTGAGGTGGCCTGGAAGATCCTCAAAAGGGAATTTGAGGTGACCGGCACCACATCTCACATATTCCTTTGCCAGGAGTTATACACAACTGACATGGCCGAAGATGATAACCTGGACATCCAGAAGATGTGCATGATCTATAATAATCTACACATAGCTGGTGATAACATTCAGGACTCAGAGTTTGTAATGGCATTACTTATCTCACTCCCCACCTCCTGGGATAGCTTCACCTCTACCATTGAACTCAAAGATCTTGACTCTATGGACACTGCTGTGAAGAGTGCCACTGCTGATTACATCCTTAACAGGATTAAAGGCAAAGCCAATCGTCATCAATCACGCAATACAGAGCCGTCCAACTCTGCATTCAATTCCAAATCCGACCAACCAAACAAAGACAAACAGAAACCCAATTGATCCAACTCTGAGTGCTGCTACTGCCACAAGCATGGCCATTGGGCCAAGGAGTGCCATGTCAGGGGACAACTCCCAGGTCCCCATGACCCTCCCCTATGGTCCACAGCCCTATGGTGTAACCAGCCCTATCCAGGGCACAACCTTAAGAAGATGAGAAGGAAGCTAACTTCTCATCTTCCCACAGTGGCCACAATATCAGGCAAACTTCCGGGGATACCCGGAAGTCACATGAGGGCAGGATCCAGGGCCGGATCATGCAGTGTGCAGAGCATGCGGCATGGGAAGTGTGTGTGGGAAGTGTAGCAGGTCCGGGCTAGTCAGGGTGTGTGCCCTGACATGCCGGAAGCAGATAGCAGACAAGAAGAAGAATTCAGCAAATGTCTCCTCTCAGGAGCAGGAGCCGAGCTTCTCCTTCGTCGCATCTGCCAATCCTGCTGTCCTGGCTGGTAGTCGATGGATTGGGGATACTGGTGCAGATGACCACGTTGTATCTGAGCGAGAAGCTTTCTTTGACTATGCAGAGACCCCTGGCCAATTTGTGACTGGCATAGGGGGAGCTAAGGTTCCCATCTGAGGATGTGGGACTGTTGCAATGGTAATGCATGCTGGGATTCTTCACAGATTGTCACTCTCCACAATTGTCTACACATTCCATCATCCCAACCCAACCTCCTATCCCTTTCCCATCTCGACAATGTCAGTGGTACCATGCAAACACAGTCCAGCCAGATCAAACTTCTCACACATGATCGCACACCACTCTGTGATGGCCGAATTCAAGACCACCTCTACCATCTTGACATGCAGACTGTCATGGCCGATGCCCCTTCCATACTAGCTGCGATTTTGGGTGATTCTTCGCCCAAAAGTCATACCTGGGAGGAGTGGCATCGGGCCCTTGGACATCTTAACCCATCCTCACTTAGGACGATGAGGGACATGGGAGTCATTGAAGGCTTGGAGGTTACCCCCAATTCCACTCTGAATTTCACCTGTGAAGCCTGTATCCAAGCTAAGCAGACCTTGAGGCCTTTCCCCAAAGAGTCCAGAACTAAATATAAATCAGTTGGGGACTTAATCGTCACTGATGTCTGGGGTCTGGCTCAGGTTCTAGGCAAAGGTGGGTATCAGTACTTCATTTCATTCACCGATGTTGCCACCCATTTTAGCGTCATAGCATTCCCTCATCAGAAATCCAAATCAGTTACTCAATATCGTCGATTTGCTGCTCACATCCAGACTCAGTTCAATCGTAAAATCAAAGCCATCCGGTTTGATAGTGGCACCGAGTATCTCAACAATTTGATGAAGTCTTTTCTTGCTGAACAAGGAACTATACACGACAACTGCTCCCCATTCCTCCACCCAAAATGGCATTGCCAAGCATCTGAACTGCACCATTCTAGACCACTTGTGTGCCATGTTGTTCAATTCCCAACTCCCCAAGTCCCTCTGGCCCTATGCCATATCATATGCCACTTTCCTGAAAAACCATACCCCGATGCACATGCTTGATGGCTGAACTCCATACAAGTCCTTCTTTGGAAAGAAGCCAAGTGTTGCAGGTGTTCAAATATTTGGGTACAATGTTTGGGTCGTAGACCAATCTGGTAAGAATGGGAAGTTAGATCCCCATTCTAACAAATTCAGGTTCTTAGACAACTCAGAGGAGACCACTGCCTACTGGTATTGCTAGTCCAGTGGGGAGGTTGCGAAGTTGCAGAATGTCATCTTCCCTAACCCCACCCCTGAGAGTCCACCTTCCCTCCCTCTTCCACTACCATCGCCTGAGGGGAGATTGCTGAAAGTGGACAGGTGATGCAGGAAGAGGGGGAGCTGTCAGGGCACGTCTTCGGGTCGCTAGCATAAGTAGTGCAGTGCCACATGGCCCATATCCCCATCAGGTTCTTCTTCTTTCCACTTCTGATCTTCTATTTGATCCATGTCAGCGCACACCCACCTGACCTGGTCCCCCGCTACCCACTCCTCCGCTACCTCCTCCTTCTTTCCCTCTTTCCCTCCTTCTTTCCCTCTTTCCCTCCTTCTTTCCCTCTTTCCCTCCTTCTCTCTTTCTTTCTTCCTTCCTCCCCTCTCCTTTCTCTCTTCTTCCTTCTTTCCTTATTAGGACGACTTCCCTTTTGTTACGGGGATGGGGGAAAATCCCCATTCCTCGATCTGTTCTTATAGTGGGATGATGAAGGTCGTATCTAGTCTGTACCATAATGGGATATGTAATTGATGAGTGATCCCAGTCTTGCCTGGGAGTGGATGATCGAATTCCCATCGATCGTGATTGGTGATGTAGTGAGCTATTAAGGGATTGATGGTAGGTAGTCAGAGATGCCAGGACAGACGGGTCAGCCATGGGTACTTGGCACTCTCAATGGAGTGTACCATGTGCGAGGTTGCGACTTGTGAGATGGGTGAGAACTTCGTATAGCTGCCATCGGGTACTTGGCGTTCGCAGTGCGAACGTACCGGTAGCAGGTTGATGTCATAAGCGTGCAATGAGGATTGACTAACAGGGCCTTCGGTGACTTGGCGTTCCCAAAGGGAACATACCATTGGCGGGGAAACATGATGACTGACGAAGGAGGGAACAGACGGTGGATGGGCAGCTACTTGGTGTTTGCATAGCAAACGTGCCGGCATCACGGGAAAGTGGGCCTCAGAGTATTCACGATCTCCATGATCGTGATGTGACGTCGTATGTCAAGCACTGGGGGAGAGTGGAGTGATGAGGTCCCATAGGGTACAGATTCCATAGGATGATACACATGTCGAGAGTCTTTGACTCGCAACCTCGAGTTCTCACGGTGAGGGCCGTTAGAGGACTCGACATAACCAGACTTATAAGGCATGTTGAGAGTTGTACAGTCACACAGGTTCAGTTGAGTCACAGGGAGGGTTGTTACAGAAGACGACACACAAGACAGTTGTAGAGCAGTTGTTAGTTAGTGGGAACTGCCTTTGGCGGTTTCTGTACAAGACGCATGACTATCTACAAATGATAAGGTCGCAGGAAATCCTGCGAAATACAAGTAACCTTGGCCAGCACCAAAACCCCAATGGGGAAAGCTTTTCACGAGGGGGGGGAAGGGGTAGAATGAGTAGGAGGGTAGGGTATTGGGATAGAGGATGAAAGGGAGAAAGAGGGGGAGCGATAGAGAGGAGAAGTCTTTGACTATGCGACGGATATGGTCATTGGAGACTCCGTATCTGTAACACCTTTTATCAATGTACCATTGACCTGGCTGCAGTATGACACACCCAAACCCGGACATGTCAGGCAACCTCCCACACACCAGGCACTCCTGGGACCTCTTGCAGAGATACCCAGATGGACGTGGCTGTGTGTGTAGATGACATGGCCTTAACCACATGTATATAAACACAGCCTAAGTGGGAACTGAGAAGCAACCTTCTTCTCACACTTCCCACTTTAGCCTAAGTGGCCAGGGACACTTGTTTACATCGGGCCCATTGTTACACATGCCCACATCATACCCTACTGGGCCCTCAGCTCCAGGCGACATACACTGACGCTCTCAACCCTGGGTCGGTCCCTGACAATCCAGTCACACAGTATCAGTTATGATGTCATGTGATCTTCTATCATCTTTGATCCGCTTCTACTGGTTATTAGTTAGTTGACTAGTTATGCTATTAGTTCAACAACGTTAGGCTAGCATAACAGGCTAGTGTAAATCACTACCCTTCTAATAGAGCCCTATACATCATCCTCGTTGTTGTGGCGAGCAAATGCATGACATCCTGCTAAGCAATAACAACTATTACTATTATCAGACACCCTCGTTATGTTTTATGCCAATGAAAGTATGACATGCTGCACTAAAATAATTGATGGAAATCCCTTATGGCCACTGTTGCATTCCCCATTCCAACCCAAACCATACCCGATTATCCTAATAGTCGACAGCTTGTTGTGTCTCTTTAGTCCTCATTTCCTCAACATGCGAAAGCATAGGCCATGCAGGTTCAACACCATGTCGAACGTCACATGGTAAATCCTCAGAACTTGTTCCCATGCGTGAAGTAATGTACAACGACAGTGTAGAAAAAAATCAAAAGGGGAGGGGTGCAAGTGTCAAGAAGAATGCATGTTCTGGACAGCGGTCATCATACTCTGATGGAACTTTATATTGGTGAGTTACATTTTTTTGACAAAACCTGGAGTAGTGGACATCGAATCGCACTACAACTGCCATTATTGGCAAGATCAACGTCATGAAGTGCACTAATCTTTAAACCCCCACTTCGCACCACCACCATCACCACCATCACCATGGGACCCGCAAGGTCATGCCATGAGCCCTTGCCTTCTTGCAATAAGAAGGCAACATGGTTTAATGCAACCGGCCCCCAAGTGAACGACTATGGCACTACCAGAGTCGGTCCACCTGAGATTCACAATGTCAGGTGCGATAATGCGCCTATGGGACCCTCCATGGTCCCTAACATGCCCTTGCCTGCCCAAACCAGGCAAATTAACACGTTGTAACAGGGATTTGCCGGTGTACCATAAACGAGCCAAATCCCGCGATTCCACCATGCTCAACAAACTCCCCACATCCTAGACACATAGCACACACTTCTCATACACACTCCTTATTTTTCCTTATTTTTCTGATTCCATTTCCGGTGTCCAGAGCCGATGTTTCCATTTTCTTATTGTCATGTGATATTCTTTCCTATTTTGTCTATCGGACTCTTCCGTGACTGCTGTACAGTAGCTGGAGGTTATCAGCACCAGACTCGACTGGACCAATATACCCCACTTCAGACCTGACTTGTAGTGAGATCTTTATCCCCCCCTCTTTCCTGTCGTGAGTCTAGTTGGATAGACTCGTTACAACGTCCCCAAGGCCTGGCCTTGGGACACCTCTGCAAACCACCGATGCCAGCGATTTGCAAACCCTTGACGCACCTCCAACCACTGCTAATAGCAGTCTCTGTCGAAATTGTATCCGGTGCAACTACTGGACTTATCCGGAGCTTGTCATATCCATCCCCGGCCATCGACTTCCGGTCTCTCCGATCCCTCCGTTCTAACTCCGCTCCCCCCTCACCAACCTCGGAGCCCCCGTATTCCGCAAACCTCTCGGTACCCCTCGATGGTCACCACCCCCTCATTTCAATTTATTACCTACGCCTCCCTAAGTACGGAGCCCCGAAGACTTCCGGACAGCTCCGACGTCCGCTAGCGCACTCCCGCCTCCGCTGGGCAATACACTCGCCTGCCCTGCAGAGCCCACCTTCGGGCCTATCCCTCCTTTCCGTTTCTGGGTTAACACCTGCCTTTCCGCTAACCCCGCAAACCGACTCGTCGGTAATATTCAGTCGGCTAATGTCTTAACCCCGTTAGCTCCGCTCCGTTCGGCTCCGCCAATTGCGGAACCATCTCCGCTGTAACCATATATATACACCACTTGTACATAGGTTACGCCCCAGCAGATAAATCAACTAGAGTTACCCCCCCTAGGTTCTAAGTGCCAGTCAGTAAGTTAGGGCACGGACGTGTCACTAGGCACAGCGCTCTTGGCAGAAGTCGCTGAGGCCAAAGCCCTCTGTTACGGAGACATTCCTTCGTCTCAAGTCTGGTCTCTGACAGAGCTCCAATTCAAATGGCTTCAAATCCAGGTCACGTGGCAAGGACATAAAATCATGGACAAGCCTGGTATCGAACCCAGGACCTCTAGCGTGCATCCATACACTACTCGCCCTTGAGCCATGCCGGTATAGGCTGTTAAACTCTATACTATTGGGAACATATTATATTCTCCAACAGTCTCCAACATGGCCCTCACAGGCCGTGGAAGGCCACCTCGACCACCTAGAGCAGATTGTAAGAACCTTGGCAGAGTCAGTGACCCCACCAACTGACGGACTTCTTGCCAGATTTGGCAGCCTGCTTTGATGCATTCAAACAGGCTATGGAGAGCAAGCTTCACCCCATTCATGCTATCAGACTTGACCAGGGCCACCCACATCCTGCATCCTCACTGGCCAAAATCCGACTCTCTATTAGTGTGCCTGGAGGCACACTTCTTCCTATTCCCTCTCATCTTGAGAGGTCAGAGATGGTTCATACAACCATCTCCCAACCGTGTTTACACCAGATCGATGGTACTTCAGCCTTTCCTGAGTGTCAGCTCACCAAAGCGCATCATGCTTCAACAAATGCTAATAAACTGCCCATACCCCTTCCACCTCCCACTCACACTGATATTGCGTGTGCAGAGACAGTCTATATGACTGTCTCCTTGCTGGTTTTGCGTCAGATCAAGGGTTTTTCGAGTGCCAGCTCACTGAAGTGCATGATGCTCCAATGAGCTGGAGTTTGAAAGGGCTCATATCTCCCCCACGCCTCTTCCTCATGCTGAGAGGTTGTAGACAGTCTATGTGACCGTCTCCCTACTGGTTTTACACCAGCGGTACAGCTCTTCAGCTTTTGCTGAGGGCCAACTTGCAGAAGTGCATTGCACTTCACCCTTTCTTGGGCCTGCATCATGTATGCGGCCCCTACTCCCACTCTCCATTATTACTATAACATCATGACATTCAAGTATACTGGTCCAAAGGACTTTATCAACTGCCTTATCTTGTTAATTAAATATCCAGATAATTTATGATGTGGAGTTGAAGTGCAATCGGATGAAAAATGAAAAGAAAACCTCACACAAGCAAGGTCTGGGTGGTGCAGCAGCCATTTCTAGTACAAAACGATGACAGTGTAGAAAAAACACATAAGGGGAGGGGCACAAGTGTCAAGAAGAATTCATGTTCTGGACAGCAGTCATCATACTCTGACAGAACTTGTCATATCCATCCCCAGCCAATGACTTCCAGTCCCTCCGATCCCTCCGGTCTACCTCCGCTCCTTCTTCACTAACCTCAGAGCTCTCATATTCCGCAATCCCCCTGGTACCCCTTGATGGTCACCACCCCCTCCTTTCAATTTATTACCTATGCCTCCCTAAGTACAGAACCCCAAAGACTTCCGGACAGCTCTGACGTCCGCTAGCGCACTCCCACCTCCACTGGGCAATACACTTGCCTGCCCTGCAGAGCCCACCTTCGGGCCTATCCCTCCTTTCCATTTCTGGGTTATCGCCTGCCTTTCCGTTAACCTCATAACCCGACTCATCGGTAATATTCAGTTGGCTAATGTTTAACCCCATTAGTTCCGCTCCGCTCGGCTCCACCATTTGCGGACCCATCTTCGCTGTAACTATATATATATCCAACTTGTACATAGGTTACACTTCAGTAATAAAATCGACTAGAGTTTACCCCCTGCAGTTCTGGTTGCCAGTTAGTAAGTTAGGGCACGGACATGTTACTTGGCACAGCGCTCCTGGCATAAGTCGCTGAGGCCGAAGCCCTCTGCCACGGAGACTTTCCTTTGTCTCAACCTGGTCTCTGACAGAACTCAGCTGCCCTGGCATCACACTCTGTATGCTGATCGGGGGTGAGATCATCTCCCTTGTATGCATGATTTGCGATCCTAAGGTCATTGAATTCGGCCACAATGTTGGCACAAGCTTTGGGATCCTGCTCGATACAGCAGTGTCCCAGGGCCTTCACGACCTCCCCAATCTTGTGCTCTTGCTGTCCAATGAACATGAGTGCCATTGATGCCAGCGAAAACAAGATGGGGATGTTCGCCAAGTGGGGTTGTCGTTCTGGAGTGGATGGCTCATGCACTGCTTTCAACACCATGGCAATTAAGCATGCCGTCATGGTAAAGCTCCAGGAATATTCACTCATGGAGTCATCCTTGGACCTGCGATCAAGCCAGCTGGCCAAAAATGAGCGCCTCATACACCCTGCAGCAAGGAAGTATGAGCCTTGTCATATCTGTGCATACCTGATCCCGACCTGACTCCCGGACCTCCTCCTTCACCACCTTCAGAGTCCTACCCTACCGCTGTCCGTTCCGATATTCACCTTCGGTCCTGGCACCACACCTCCTCTCACCTCCCATGTCACCTCCACTCCTCCATCCCTCTCCTGTCCTATCTCTGTCCACTCCGATACCCACCTCGGACCGAACACCACCCCCCTCGCCACCCTCCTACTACTCCTCCTCCCACTCCTCCACTTCCTCCCCACAACACCTCCACCCTTCCATCACCCTCCTACTCTTCTCCCATCCGCTCTGATACTCACCTTTGGACCTGACACCTCTCCTCTCCTCCACACCTTTCCTCCTTCCTCCTTCCTCTCTCTTCCCTCTGGCCCTCTTCTGCCAACCCCCTGCCAAGTTACGACCTCCACCGCTGTCCTGTACTTTGTACTCGGACACTGCTGAAGGAGAGAACGAAGGAAGGTCAGTTGGGAGGTTCAAACGAGACCACCACCAAGCTGTTCCCTGGTTCTTTAGTTAGGATGTGTTAGAACGGGGCGGAAACGGACGACTCCGGAGTGGAATCGGAGACCTAGCGTGGAGGGACCTTGGCCTCAGTGACTCAAGCGGAGCGCTGTGCCATTGCTGTTTGTCCATTTGGTCCTTAATTTCACAGTAGGTGAGCAGGAAGTCTCTAGGGGGCATTTCAGGTCGATTTCGGACTGAAACCAGACGAGTATGTACAAGCGCCGATATATATATAAAGAAGGGGCAAAAGCACAAGGAGAACAAAGGGTGATGTCAGGGACTCGTCCGGGGTCGAGGGGGTCCGGGTATAACGTCCGGGACCGAGAGCCTGGCGGGGGGCGGATCGGGCGTGCGTACTGACAGGCCCGATGTGGGACAGCGGTCCCTGGCCACTTAGACTGAAGTGGAAAGTTGTTATTATTATTAAAGGAGAAATATTGTACTACTTACCTGAAGTGGAAAGTTGAGAAGAAGGCTACTTCTTCGGTTCCCACTTCAGGTTCGTTTATATACATGCGGCTTGGATCACATGACGGGTGCCACGTCACCCTCGCACACAGCCGTAACCACCCGGGTGTCTCCGTGGGAGATCCCGAGGGTATCCGGTACAGGCGCACGTGCTGGGCACAGCGGGAAGTCGCCCGAGGTGCCCGGGCCGGGTACATGGTGGGCACGCTGCAGATGGGTCAGTTGTACATTGATACAGAGAAAGTCGTCCATGTAGAATAAAGAGAGAATAAAGGAGAAGTAAGATAAGGAGAAACTGAGGAGGGGAGGATGAGGGGGAAGAAGGGAAAGGGGGAGGAGGTAAGGAGGGGTGGACCGGCGGGGTACCGGGTCAGGTTGGGCCGGGTGGAGCCGGGTCAGGCGGGTGTGCCCTGACAGGTGACCGAATCGGAACGAAGACGTCCGAACGGGAACAAAGGGTGAAGGGAGCGGAGCGGTACCGAAGGTCATAGGGCAAGACCTGTGATATGTCTGAAAGGAGGTAGAGAGGGCAAGGCCCAGAGGGGCAGGAGGATGAGGGGAAGTGGGGGTGATGACTAACTGGCTAGAATAGAAAGAAGCAGTAGTCCAAATAGGGATGAGGGGAAATTGCGAGAAATACATTACAAACGGCGAGAGTGCCGGAGGCGGTCCGCAAAGCTCGGGGGTTGCAGAGCTTATGGAGGTTACGGAGGCGGGGTTAGAAGTCCGAGGAATATTGGCAATGGTGTTCACGTAGTATGAGGTCACCAATGCAATGGACTAAGACCGAGGTGGAGTCAAAGTCTGAGGTAGGGACTATGACGGAGGCTCGGAGTAAGGTACGAACGGTGTCCGAGTACGAAGTACGGAACAGCAGTGGACGGTCGTAACTTGGCGGAAGGGTAACGGAAGGAGTAACGGAAGGAGGAGAGAGGGGACAGGTAAGGAAGAGGGAGTGGCGGAAAGGAGAGTAGTCAGGTCCGAAGGTGAGTATCAGAACGGACGGGGGAAGCGTAGGGGGATGACGGGAGGGTGGAGGTGTTGTGAGGGGGGAGCGGAGTTGTAGGAAGGGTGGCGAGTGGGGCGATGTTCGGTCCGAGATGAGTATCGGAGCGGACGGAGAAGGGGTCGGAGAGGTAAGAGGAGGGGTGTGTTGCCAAGACCGAAGGTGAGTATCGGAATGGCAGCGGTAGGTTATGACTCCGGAGGTGAAGAGGGTGGAGGTCCAGAAGTCGGGTCGGGGTCGGGTATGCACGGATATGACAGGATGGGGAAGTGTACTAGTGTTATTTATTGTAAATATAGTACCAATCCGAGTGTTTTGGCTAATTCTATTTTTATGGGTTAGTTTTAAAATTCCTGAGAATTGACTTACAGATAAACCGAGCCCTGCAGAGCTGTTTCTTTATTGAAATTTATTAATTTGTCTAGGTGTAATTCTGTGTAGCGTTGTTTAATTTGGATTTAAACTTGAATTTAATCTTCTACTTGGTGAAGTTTCAAAGATTCTATTCAGTTAATGAATTTGGATTGTGTCTGGAGTGTCCCTTGAGTTTGCTTTATTTTTGTCTTATTTTATTGCTTGTTTTAACAGTAGCAAAATAACTGTTTTGTGTTTACACTTTGAAATCTGGAGTGTTAACCAGCTCTCCTCTTGAAATATCTACTTAATATTTCTCTCCTTTATTGCTGCCTTTTACTACAGTGGCAATCTTAACTGTATATCACTTTTTCGCACTGGAGTGACAACCAGAAATGCTTGAGAAAAATAATACTCTATTTTCTTGCTTCTCTAAGGGGGGTGAAAAGTCGCAGAAAGGGTCTCCCTTTTATACTCCTTGGGTCGCCTTCCTTTTTCACGCTCTACCTTCTATTTACAGGATTTATTTACAGTGTATTTTTCTCAGACTGAATAAAAATGAAATTTTCATGCTATAGTTCTACTGTGCTTTTGCTGCGCTGAACTGCGGTCAGACTGCACCTAGAATTCTTATTGTCCTCCCTCACCTAAGCTATTTTAACGGTTAATTGGAACTTGGCTGCACTGCATTTGCCGCAGTTACCTATTTCAAATTCCCTATATATACCATTAAATTTGCTATGACTCGATGATTCTGAATTCAAACTTCGCATTACTATGCGTACGGCTGTGCTGAGACCTTCAGCTGATTTATTCCATTTTTATTTAGTGACATTTAGTTAAAATGAGACTGAAATGGTAAATGAGTGAATTATTCAGGTTTAAAACTGAAAGACAAAGTTGCTAGTAATCAAGAATTACTCAAACGAATGTGTTATAGCTCTCCACCTCATTAGAATATTGTTCCCTAAAATTCCCGCCATGGTCCATCATAGTTTAGTGGTTTTCGTGAATTTCGTTCATATTCCCTGATTCCCTTTTGTATTATCACATCCTAATCCTCCATATGTATTGTTGGTTGTTATAGTAGGTCGTCCTTGAAGATATCATATTTTTATGTATTTTAT